TTATTTGCTGAATTGGTGATTTACTATTTCCTACGCGAGCATCTCAGTGGCAGGAGTCAGGCAGCCAATTTCGATCCCTCTGTGAGATTCAATTAAACCATTAATTAAGTGATGTCAGTGTCCTTTAACAGCTGACTGTATACACAAGCAAGGAGAAGGGGACAGACCCCGCAGTGCTAATAAACTGTCGCAGCAGGGGTGGCTTACCGCAGCCCAGCTGCAGCTGTCAGGGACATCTGTGCAGGTTTTGCCTGCTTTCCCTACGGTGCAAGAATACCTGGCTCGAACTCGGCATGAAGCAGGGCTCTGACTAGGTGTTTATAACCCCAACGTGCCCCTCGGGAGGCTCTGAGAAGTTGCAGTTCAAGTCGGGTTATGTTTTGCACTCAGACTTTCAAGATAATCAGGGATGCGCAAAGCTGCTGCTTTCACGCCCCGCGTCCCTGCACAGCCTCTCCTCCCCACAGCTGCCCCTCAGCCCCAGCCCCAACCTCTCAGCCCAAAAAGAGATCAAGGGCCCTCAGATTTTGTGCTTTCACGTTGTTCTCCTCTCCCCTCAAGAGGCATTAATAGGTACTCAACAGCAGAGGGAACGGCTCAGAGGTTTTACTAATGAACTGCCTAATAGCATCCAAGTCCCTGGGCTCACGATGGAGCAGGGCTGCAGGGTCCTCTTGGGGAGATGCAGCCTCACTGTATTTCTTTTTTTTGAAACCACTCACGCCTCCTCTGCGATGCTCTCCCGTTCTGCTGCTGCCACTTTGCGGGGTCCTTTTGTTCCCTTGGAGCTCACAACTCGCTTCCTATGCCCCACAGCTAGGAGCAGGAATATGCATGGGTCTGGGACCTCTTCTCAGCTAGGGAGCCCCGAAAGCTACTGCTTGGGGAGCAGTTTACAGTTTGGTAGAGAAGCCGGGCAGGAGGAAAAAGAGTTGGGTGTGAGGGGCTGAGAGCAAAGCAAGGGTGTGTGGGCAGCAAAAAGGTGGGGCAAGAAAGAAGGAGTGAGGAGACAAAAATACAGGAAGAGAAAACACAGCATGAAAAACTTCCCCAAGATCTGCCAGCCCAGAAACCAGCAAAGATGGGGACCTTGGAGGTAGACAAGAAGGGCACTCCAAAATCTATTCTCTGTGCTACACCACTTCATGGCTCATTTTGCAAAAGTCGAACAAACATCCACTATACCTCACAGCCACATCACTACTGCTTCCAGCATTCAGCCCCTGTTCCCTCTGCTTGCTCCTGTGCAGAGCGGGCTTCCCACTGCACATAGGTAACAAAACGCAGGGCCAGGCAGGAGAAAGACATATGTTCACCTCCAGCCTCTCAGCAGCAGCCCCCAAGCTGAGGTGGTGAAATACAGCTCTCATCTCTCCATACAGCAACCCGCAGGCAAACAACTCACTCTCCTAATTGCCAGCAATGGCCCCCACACCGCCCCTTGCAGATACCTGGCTGCTGCCTTTCATTTTGCTCCTGCTGCATCCACAGCACAAGTAAATTTTCTAATTTCCTCAGCTGTCAGAACCAACACCAGAAGAAAACGGGCAGAGCTGAGCAGCCTGCTGGGTTCCTTGTGAAGCACGCAGCAGGGAAGCAGCCTGCCTCAGCGGTGGGAGATGGTGCGAGACAATCTGCCCATAGACATGTTGGACAAAGCTGCTCCTTTGGTGGAAATCCCTGCAAGAGGGTGGGCTTACACCCAGGGGCCGGTGTAAAACTGGGACAAAGCCAGATGGGTGCAAGCAGCCTCGCAGCCGAGCTGCTCTCCCAGCCCTTATCGGAACCCTCTGAGGATGGAGCTGGCGTGGGCAGGGCCATTGTCTGGGGGATAAGGAGTGAGAGGGAGGAAGGGAGAGATTAGCTCCAACCTTGCTGCCCAGAGCTGCACCGTACAGCCGTGACATTGCTCTGCCCTATGTTACAGGAGACCTTGTTTGGCTGCCAGCTTCCCCTTCTGCTTACAGAGAGGGATTTTGCTGGCATTAAGGACTCTCAGCCAGGGCTGAAACAGTAACTAAGCTACACTGCCCGTGGTTATCAGCACAGCTCATCTGGGCCTCACCCTGACCTCAGGACTAGACACACACAAAAAAAATAGGGCAGCGGCAACAAAAGCCATCCTTATGGCGAGGGCACGTGCTGGGGCAGTTCCAGAGCTTAAGGAGAGATCTCCATTGCCGCACAGCACTGCGATCGGGGCCAGCACCACACAGCAGGGCCCCTCTCCCCTCCAAACTTGCCACTTGAACCATTTTCCCCCCGACTCGCTGCATGTTGCAGCAAGGCCGTTTCCATGCGGATGGCTGCTTCTCCCCGTTGCCATGGTGACGGCGCTGGTGCCAGAGGGCCGGAGGCGGAGGGCGAGCGCCATATCTCCCGGCTCAGGCTGAGGGTACATCTAATCCGGCCCCACGCCATTTTGCGCCTTTGAGGAGCTATCAAATGGCCAGCAGGAAGGCTCTGGGTGGACACACGGGCCCGCCGCTCTTCTTCACGCCCTAAATCACATCACAGGGCCCTTGACAGGGCTTCCCATGGAGCGCTCTCCCTTCACGCCTCACAGTTGCTGACACAGCCATAGTGCCACCGTCCCTAGGGCTGGGCTGTCCTACAGGCTCCGTGCTCAGTGCCATCACCACCAGTGCATCCTCAGCAGACCCGTATACAAGAAATGTGGTTGATGGAGGCAGGGTCCTGGGGCATCCAATGTGTCCTCATAGTGCTCTGCCTCCCTCCTCATGTTGTAGCACGCTGGGATGGATGGAGGTCATGGCAGATGAGAACTGGCTTGCGAATAGTTTTCAGGGCGAGATGAAGCACTGCCTAGAGCTGGGGCTCAGGGAATCCTCTGGGCAGAGCCAGGACTGCTTTGGTCCGTGCCTGGCACAGAAAAAAAGAAAGATAAGGACAGCTTTAAAAAGGCTAAATTCTGTCATCTACAGAAGGTGAACTCTTCCAAAGACACCAGTTTGTACTTGAACAAAGCAGAATGCAGAAAATGAATTTGCCGTGTCACCCTGAATTTCCACTGCAGTTCTTGTAGGATTTTCTTCCATGGCAGCCAAACGCCGTGCTGCTGCTCCTTTCAGAAAGTTTCCCCAGCAGGCTCCTCTCCCTGCATCTAGCCAGCATCTCCCTGCCACTCTGCTGTAAAGCAGTCCCATCTCCTCTAAAACCGCCCTCTAACACACAGGTGCACACGGTATCTTTGCAAAACACTAACCAGATGTTGCACCCCAGCCCTAAATAGTTGGGACCAGGGACACTCTGCCCCTGTTCTAACATCTCCTGTTCAGTTCTCTCTGGTAGGAACACTGCAGTCACCCACAAGTTACTCATTTCCACAACGCTAGTCTAAAGCCGGTGTGGTATTTTTATGTTATAACATCAGGAAAAGAATATGCAATTCAGGGTTTTTCCACATCAGTATTTTTCTAAGAATTAATTTCCTTACACAATAAGGACAGCTCTTCCCTGGTTGCTACCCTGAAAGAAACACAGGCTAATCAGACCTCAGCCAGAACACAGCTCTAGCAGGGGCTGCTGCTGCCTGATGAGCAGTCAGCCTAGTTGGCAGGCAGTGCCAGGCTGTTACTGCTACAATGACTGACTGCACAGCTCAGCCCCCGCAGCCCAGGGGCTACAAAAAAAAAAAAAAGAAAAAAAGGTATATAAAAGCCCTTTCACCATTCCCTCCTCGTAAGGAAGTATTTGGCCAGCAAAGCTTTTACAACCACACTAACAAGACAGGAAAGTACAAGCATTCAGGGACACTAACAACTATGAAAGCAACACAAAAGCAAACCCACAAAATCCTGTCCCATTGCTTGCCCACAGGACTGACTTTTCTAATAAAGGCTCCCACCAGGAGGAAAGCTGTTGGGAGGGCCACGCGTCCCAGTACCTCCCAGACATCATCTCCATTTCCAAAGTCCTGAGAGATCCTGCAGGAAGAGCTGGCAGAAAAGCAATCAGAGGACAGAAACATGAAAAACAATAAAAAAAACATATGGAAGCACCAGAAATCTGAAATAAAGCTTCAGAAATCTGGTTCTTCCAGCTGGGTCAAAAGAGAACAAAGAAAGCATAACAGACACCAGCACGTGAGCAAAAGTAAGGTTCTGAGAAAACAAAAACACAGAGAAAATCAGGGTGCTGTATCAGGGACAGCAGCTCAGGGCTGGAGGGTTGACCAGAAGGAGTGTTGAAGCAGGAACACGCCATTAACGGATACACAGATTTGATTCTATTGGGATTTCTGTGGCTTGCTGACTAATGCAGTTTATATAAGAAATATTACATAGTTTTTTTTAAAGCAAAGGCAGCACAAGAAGTAATAAAGATGGGATTCCACTACCTAACAAACATGGTATTAAAGTCAAGCATCTCAGCATCTCCTTGTCACTTAGTACCTTTCTGAAGAGCCGCAGGCTCAAGAGCTTTCTGACATGCTCAAGGTCTCCAAAGGAAAGCAACAGAAAACTGCACACACCAAAATAGAGGAAGGTTCAAAGAAGCTCTCAGGGCCAAGACTGCAGATGCGTACAGGAACCAATTTACACAGGCACAATGCTGGGTGGTCACAAAGCAGCAGTGGGTTACAAGAGAGTCCCAGTCCAGAACCGTTTGCAAATTTTCAGCCATGATGTTGTACAAAAGATATTTCATGCCTGAAGCAGCACACAGCTGGAAAATGCAAGTGCCCTAACAAGCAATGGGTAGGTGATGACTTCTGCCAAGCAATCTGTACAGCTCAACCTTTATCTCTTGATCACGGAGCACGAGCAGAAAATGGCCACAAGGTTAGGCAAGTGCTATAAAATGGACTAAAGGAAGAGTCTGAGTGCAAGACGGACTAGCAATAAAATTAAAAGAGGAAAACATAACCGAAGGCCAAGTATTCCTCCCCCAGCATTCTCCTGGAGGGAAGAAGGAGAAATCTGCAGCAACTACAGAAATGCCCTTGGTAGGAAGCACACTGCTACTCCAGACGTCAGGAAGAGGCCAGAAACTGGCGGGTAATAATTCTGCACAGCCCAGCACACATCCCTACCATCTCTTCCTAACAATGGGACTCCTGGCTGCACCACTAAGGTTCTGAGAAAACAAAAACAATCAATCGAGCTCTTACAGCAAATTCTGTTTATTCCATTTTTGTGTTGTGCTGCTAACAAATCTTCATCCTAGCCTAGGAAAAATATCAGGTAGAAAATATTTGCCCTTTCCTCCCCCCCTCCCCACTTTTTTTTTTTTTTGTTGTTTTAATGAATAAAGAATCAAAATTTCAAGTATGAGAGACTTTTTTCTTCCAATGCATTTCTGTAATAAAATTAACTCTGTTGTAGATATAAAATGCAGCAGCCACGACCAGAGGATCTGCAATGCTACTCAAAGGCAATTAGTACCCAGAATGAATCAATCAGTTTGTCTGCAAACATAATAAGAAAATACTTAGCACTCACCCAGCACTTTTTGTCCATGAATCTCAAAGCGTTTTACAAAAGCTGAAAATATGTTTTTGGCCTCATTTACAGAGAAGAAAACACCGGATGGAACAGGAATAGATTTGCCCTCAGTGACAAAACAATTTAATAGCAGAATAAGAGCAGACCTCTGGTCTCGCAGCCCCGAGTCCAACAACCCACGCCATGCTCTCTGCATCACACAGGACTGCCTGAATCTGGCAAAAGCCCCTACTGCAGAAATGCTAATATAAAAATGCTTTATATTTTTGCCACCCAAAAAAAACCCAAACAAACAAACAACATTTAAACGGAGACCTGGGAGCTATTTTAATAAGCACTGACCTCCCAGGCTGACATCAAGGCATAAAGCCAGTCTTGAACGGAGCTGCTGAGAGCTTTGGAGAAAACAAAAATAGTCTCATACTGAAAGTGTGAACAAACGTGAGAGTGGTGCAGGAAGAAGATAATTCCATGATCTACTATGTGCAAATGATTCTCCACTTGGAGCTTTAATTGAATATTTGAGGAACAGATCACAGGATAAAACCTAAAACCTTGACAAATAGTGTTATTAGATGGAGAGGAACCCAGACCTAAAGCACACATGGCCTGATGCTCCCTCTATTAGCAGTCTTCCAACCTTGAAGTCATTCCTGAAACACCTGAGAAACCCACAGTGCATAAACCAGAAAAAGAGCAGTGAAATACAGCATCTTGTCCTAGAATTAAGTTTAGCATGGCCGGGAAAGTAAATACCATAGAACAGAGACTAAAGGCTGACTTGAAGATCCTCAGCCACCTTCCCCTGCAAGGTCCCACATTCATGCTTCATGCAGGCACCATCAACACACAAAGTTATTTTCTTATGCTTTACTATGCAAAATGACTGTTTGACATCAGTACTGTTCTTCACAGGCATGTGGCCACAACACATCACCCACAGCCCACTTTGGTCCAAAGATGACACCAACAGGGTCATTTAAAGCAGGTGTCTCCCGTGCACAAGCACCAATTTTCTGATGTCCCCTCTGTAACTCACGTGGGATGGCTGCAATGCTTGATAGCACACAGTCACAAGTCTGTGTGCAGCAGAACACAAATGCTGCTCTGCAACCAAGAATTCCGCTTTTAACAGAGGAGGGCAGGCCACACCAACTAACAGGACAAACAGTATTACACCTAGGAGCTTAATTTCTAGGCAGCATAGACACTGCAGTGGTCCACTCAGCACCACGCCGAACATGATGCACCAGCCAGCTGTGCTTTGAAGCCTGGGAATACCCAAAAGGGTTCTCACAGAGAACAGCGTATCAAACAGGGATAGGTAAGCAACGTAAGTCAACTCATCTCTTAACTGCAAACCTGCAGCAATGCACAGTAATTCAGGTCTCCTCCCTCCTTCCTGGAAAAACCCAAATGCTATTAGTTCTCCACGGTCATTCTCCAGCACACAGAAGGGTGCCAGCAGCTGGGACTCCCTTCTGCTCAGCAGCAAGCCTGCAGATGCCCATAAGGATTCATCCACACTGCAGAAAGAAACCCTTCAAGAGCAAGGAGCTGCTGTTATTCTCCAAACTCCTCCCAGCCACCCTCCCTCCTTGTTGCCCACTTTTTCATGCATCAGAGACGCAATCAGCTGCACAGGTTTGTGGTACTATCTTACCACCTTCCACTTAGGGGCTTTATGGATACTAAGGCACAAAGATTAAATTACTTGCATAAAAGTCAGGAATACACCTCATCTCTCTCAGTTCCAACGATTTCTCACAGCTTTTTCCTAACCTCTTGCATATTAAAATCGTGTGAGTAGATGGTGTGGATGAGAACAGGATTTCATTTCCCTAGTAATACTGGTGATACAAATACGGGTAGCTGTATTTCTAAGCTCTCCCCGTGGCTTCTATCCATTCCCTCTAGGACAGGCTGTTTGTCTTGACAAAGTAGGAAAGCATCAGTGCAGAAGGGAGCGCTCCACAAATATGTTGCAAAGCTCCATGGTTGCCATCCTAAGACATACAACAGGAGAGAAAACAGACATGCCTCTGGGAAATCGAGAAACAAACCTCAGCTACACTTTGTTCATCAACAGGAATAAGGAACAACAGCAGTGCTTAACGCAGCGGGAACCACTGCGGTACGAAAAGAGTGAGAAGAAATATTTGCAGGTCTGACTTCAACAGATCACCTTTTCACAGCTGAGGGCACTGCGAGATGCCGGCAGGTGGGAGCTCCCAGGTCAGACCTCTCGACGCGATCGATGGTTTGGTTTCCTAGAAGGTGTGAGTGCCCGGCTTTGGTCTGTCTGTGGCAGAGGCCCAGACCCGAGGAGAAGAGCTGCCCTGCCCACGCGTTGCCCTACGTGCAGCTATGCCTCATGTGGAAGTTTACCACGTACTCCGCGTTCGTGCGCTGCACCGAGATGGCAAAGGGCTCGAAGGGGTGGAAGGTGAACGCAACCAGGCGTCGCACGGTGTGATTGATGGGCCGCCCCAGGAGTCCCGCCTGGATTTCAAACTTCAGGAGGCCAGAATCACGAGCGTAAAATCTGAAAGGAAGAGAAAGTCAATTACGGCTGTTCCTGACTATTGACTTTGCCATCTGGACTCTTCACAATCTGAGACAAGTGCCTTGTTCAGTTTCTGGTACTCCCTCAGTGGCAGGAGATCCTCAGCTGGGTGTCTGGCTCTTGGCGACAGAGGAGAGTCCCTCCTGGGGCAGCTAGTTTTTCACTGTCTAGAAAAAGACTTCTTTTCCTCTCAGTCAGAAAACTCTGTCTTCTGTGCTGACTCTCTATACTCTCTTAATGCAAGCTGCTCCGCTTGATGCCTATGGCAGATACACTGTACAGGATGGAGCCTGCCTCCCTTAGCAATGGCCTTCATTCCAGCTGTAAGGCCAACCCTTCCCTCTCCTGCTGCTGTCAGTATGCTGCTGCACTTGTGCTTAGTTACATCGCTGTTCAACAGAGGAAGGTGAACACCTGGATCCAGTTTGGCTCCACGGTGCCATATTCCACCTTACACTTCAAACTAGGCTTTGCAAATCCTGATAGATTTCCAAACGCAACAACAAAAATCACCAAGATGACAGTTTGAGCAGGAAGTGTCTGGTGGACAGCATTTAACAATCACAGCAAGGGCAGAGGTAAAGGCAAATGGATGTGTTTTTCTGCTGGTGCCCATAAATCTGGCTGTCGGTCCGAGGAAGCACATTTGTGTCTCCAAATAGGCGAGCTCTGGAACACAGCTTCAGCACTGCCAAGGGGATGAGGCAATGCAGTGAAAAGCCAAAGTCTAGAAAGCCATTTGCTTCTTGAACCTTCTCTGCATACCAGAGGACTGGCTCACTTTCTGTAGCAGATATAAGCCCACCTTACACATTATTCTGAGCTGCTGTGGGAACAGGGGACTCTCTGCAACGATCCCACTCTTCCCAAGAACACAGCGGAGGTTTGGGGGATTTGGTACCTTCACAAGGCAGCTGAGCTCCAGCTGACAGGACTCAAGTTCTCACCTGAAGAACTCATCCCCTTAGAGCATTTTCTCTGCCCTTTCAGTTTCGGGAACAGAATTGCCATTTTGTCTTCCAGCTTTTTCCTTTTCCACCATCGCTTTGCGGACGTGGACATTTTGCATTTTTCCTCTGGTTTTAACACAGAGAATGCTTTTAATACTAGAGCACATTTCCCCCCACTTCTGGCAAGCAATACAATGCACTCAGCTCTCAGCCTGGAAAGAACAGGTGATGACAGATACAGGCAATGCTGTTTCAGGAGCAGACATACTCCACATTTTAACAGCACAGCCTATTGAGATCCTCATGTTCTTCCTGGAGGGCCACTCTCCTCTCTCTTCCTCTGAATCAAAGCGCCAGCCAGCTCTGCCTGAAAATTGCACACAAGAACTCAGCAAGAGAGTCACAATCTTGGTATTTGGCTTTTTAAAAGCCCTCTCCCTCCTACACAAGGCTGGGTATGTGGAGGGTCATTCTTTAAATAAAGCATAGTCCCTGGTCTGCTCCTCTCTCTCCCCAATTCACAATAATTTACTACTCAAGATGAAGCTCCCTGTAATCTCAGAGATGTGTTCAGTTTGGTATTTTTAAATCTATTTTTAAAAGTGCTCTGCAATCAGAGGCCATTTCCATGGGCTCTTACTCTGGGGATAAATTAGGCACTGCAATATAAAATTGTATGTCAACAGAAACAGCAAGACCAGCCTTTTCAAACCATATGAAAATGGAAGATTTATCTGCAGACCAATTTTTTGGTTAAATGGCTCCTTATTAGCCATCTAGATGGATTTTAGAGACCCCCTGCTATAGGTAAAGCTGTGTTAGAGCCTCTTCCTCACAAGTCCCATCATTTCACCCACTGAATTTTTCTTCAAGCCTCCTGAAAAGATATTGGAAAATGGCAGTGATGGGGACCTGAAGTCCTTCCCGCCTGACAGCAAACCACTACTGGCCTCTCAAGTAGCCAGAGGGCTGAACCTGCCGAACACAGAAAAGCAGCACGGGTCAAAAGAGCACCAGGCACAGAGGTGCTGAAACTGGTGAGTAAAACAGAGGCCTTCATCTCACAGATGTCCTGCCAGGAAATACAAGCGGTCCATAACACCCGTCGCTGCCCAAGCTCTCTGCACTGCAGCCACTCAGAGGACTTACATTACAAGCATTACATTACTGCCGCCCCTCATTTCCAAGCTTTCCAACCACAACGGGCAGCAGTATTATTTTATTAATCCCTTTGTTTCGTATGTGAGAAACACAGCAGTGCTACTTCAGCTACTCAATGGTTAAGGTTAGCGCCTGGTCTTCTGCTTACTTCCCAAAAACCAGGAGCCCCACTGCTCCCAGGCCCTATTCAAGTCCTAATTGACTGCACAGCTTTGAGCTTTCAAAGCTCTGGCTCTGAAATGCCGCGTTGCTCAAGGGAGGGAGGAAAGGTGGCACTTTGCTTTGTTTACTACAAAGACGGTAACCACAGCAAATGACTGAGGTTTTGCTCCCTTTTGTCTGCAGGAGCCCTGCGCAGGTCGGTGCTGGCAGACAACCATTGCCCTGCAAGTTTTCCCAACGTCAAGCATGACAAGGGGGAAAGGGCAGGCTTTTCTCTGCAGATAGCATGGGAGCTGGAGATTAAACCAAATCATAAGGGCAGGGGAAAAAATGTATATGTATCAATTAAATATACATAATTTGGGAATTGAGAGCACAGGAATAATCAGAAGATTCCTAGCACCTGAGTCAGAGTCAGGGGAGACATGAAATCAGGTTTTGAGGATGCACTGATGAAAATAAATTTGGGAAGCCATCCAGAATGGACTCCTGAGGCTGTCAGAGCCCCCAACACGCGTCCAGTTGCTAAACAAAGCACTTAGACATTGAAGGCTCTCTTTGTTTTTCGAGCGTAGGTTCATTTCTCTTTTGCAACAGTGTAAGTGGAAAGCCTGTTCTGCCTGGAGAACTCAGCCCCAATGATTTGAGCCTTTCAGGCAGGGGATGCTGAATTTTTAACCACTACTGCTTGCCACCATAGCTGCAGCCAACAAAAAGAAGTAAACAGTCACGGCGTTTCTGAAAGAAGCTCTGCAAACATCCTTATTCTAAGGCTTGGAGTTCTTCCTTCTGCCAGCAATGAAGACTCAGACATAAGAGGCACAGAATGGCTTTTACACCTGGCTAAACTTCTACTACAGAAACAAATTTCCTATAGATCACAGACAGAAGAGGGACATGAAGAGGAGTACGGCTCCCAGGGTGAGAAACGTAAATAGGGAAAAAAAGGCAGTCTGAAAATAGCAAAATCAATACCAGAAGCTTTATGAATAACACCTAAGCCAGACAATGTTTTAGTCACAGGACAAACCAGGTGATCCTTACCAGTTAACCCTACGTGCTCAGAAAGAATCCTTCCAGCACAGGAAGGATAGCAAGCACCCAGAAACATATCTGCAGCCCACACAGGGGGGCTGAACTGCTCTAGAAGGAGGAACAAGAGCATTCATATGGAAAAGGCTCACTCTTTACCACCCAAGTCTTCCATAAGGCAGCTCAGTGACAAAACCTGAAGGGCTCTCCCACACATATAAGGTGAGACTTATCACGAGGAGATTGGCCAAGCTTTGTGCAACTACTGAAATAAACCCCCTGGCCAAAGGACGTGGAGAGAGAAAGGCACCGATGTCTGTTCTTTCTGCAAATTTCACAGGTGATTTAGAGTTCCCCTTTCTCCTCACATACAGCTTCTTGACCTGTTTCGTACCTTATAGGGTGATCACCGCAGGTCTTGGGCCGCTCCATGACGGACACCCACTTGTCATCATAGCTGAAAAGGGAGAGGTCGAGGTACGGGCTGCCACTGTACGACTGGGCACTGATTGGGAGCTGGCCCAGCAGCCTCCGCACGGCCTCTGTGTGTCCCCCGTACTTGGCATTCACAATAGTGTCTTTGAACCTGAAGCAAACCAAGAAGCAGGTTTTACTCACAAAGGCCACAGGTGAACAGATTAAAAAAAAAAAAAAAAAAAAAAAAAGGAGGAAAACTGATAGAGAAAGAAAAGCAGCAGCAGTGTAAGAACTAGAACAGCTCGCTTCCAAAGATGTATCAGAGTGATTCAACCATCAACCAGCTCTGGTGACCTTTTTATCCTCCCTCATCATTACTGTTTCTGCTCTGAAAGTCCAAACTGATAGAAGGACAAGACCGTGCCTATCCACAAGGTCTGGCCTCAGCTGCACCACAGTACAGGAAATGAACAGGATCAGAAACAGGGAGAGGTGGATTAGCAGCTTATCAGTCAATCCAAGTTTTGCCACAAAGCCTGTAAACAGCATAAGCAAAAGCCAGCGTGTTTCACAGCAACAGTTGAGCCCTTAAGGTTGACTCTAGAATCCCCCCCTCCCTCTCTAGCCATTGTGTTTTAAACACATAGAGGGAGAAACCTGAGATGAGGAAGAACCTTGAAGAGAAGCAGAACGCGCTTCAAAGCCACAGCGAGCTCAAAGCTCTTCCAGGTAAAGAGACAAACGCAGGTTGGATTTCTCATTCCAAATAAAATTTGAGCTTTCCACAAGCAAGAACAGACAGATCAGCTGCACGAACGTCACACACCACAGTCAGTAAACTGTTTCCCTTTGAACACAAACACTCAGCCAAAAGCCAGCTTGCTGTGTATACAGCATTATTACACTCGGCTACTTAAGTTAAACATTCCTGTTACACGTTCTTACAGTCGAGTGGATGAACAGATTCTCCTCTACACTTCAGCACAATGCAGAAATTGTTCTTTAGGTGCCTGCACTGAGCTCCCTCGTTCTTTTTTTTTCCCCCTAAGCAATAGGGATTTTGTGACAGGGAGCTCCACGATGCTACAGTCAGCTTCCTCTTACTTAGGGGATGTGAAACTAAAATCAGCCGAAGCTTCACTGCCATAAGTGACTGCCAAGTACTTTGGATGATGTCAAACAAGTCACTAGAAGAACAAAACACCCTGAGTCACATAAAAATACATTCCAACAGAAATAACACACTCTGCCTCATTAAAACCACATTTGACTGTTAAAGAACATTCTGGAAACCCTGGATATTTTGATATTTTGCTCAGTTTTCACAACAAGTCTAGGCGGATCCATTTCCTTTCTCCAAGCAGAGTTCAGTGAGAATCACAAGCTGTTTACTGCTGTTACAGAACACAGCTTGTTGCACACTAAATTTAAAGAAGGCCACTTGGCAAAATACATCCAATTAGACGATGTAGCATCTTGATAAATCTTATCTACGGGGCCCAAAGCTACTGGGCAGTACTGTTTTAATGAACTCCACAGGAGGTACCACTCAAAGAGAGCCAGCAATATCTTGCTTTTAAAATTCCTTTCTCTTCTAAGCACTGAACTGCACCACTGCCTTCTTCCTTGCTGTACAAAGACACATACTGTGGAATATGAGACCAGGTGCACGAGGCTGCGAGATGAAGCAGGTCCCAGGCAGCCCCTCGCATCACACAGCGACCACAGGAGCTGTTTTTCTCAGGGTGGCTGTTTGATACTGGCCTTCAGCTGACGGGGCTGAGCGTGTCTACACGGTACAAAGCATGCTCCGAATGGCTCACCGGCGTTGGATCTGCCTGGCAAAGTTGTTGCTGGAAGCAGAGCAGGGGAACTGAACCGCCTCGCTGTGCAAAGTGGCGTTCCTGAAGAGGTCACAGAAGTTCTCAAACAGCTCCAGCAGCTCATCGGACGTGTTCTCAAACACGGCTATGACCTCCGTGCTCACCATGTTGTACACGACGAAGAATGAAGGCTGGGGAGAGAAGCAGAGGTGAGGGTTAGCCAGAGAGCAGGCAGAGGGAAGCTGGCCCTTCCTCCTCCCCATGTGATGCCACAAATCCTACCCAAACGTCTTTGCAGAGCAGGAGAATCCCACATCTTCATACTAATCCCTTCTGCTACTCAAATACCTCAACAGGCACCAAATTATCCACCTGTTTACTGCCATGTCGTTATTTATGGAAAAAAAACCACAACTGAATGGGCTTCCAATTTTTCTTCTCAAACTGGATGTCAATATTTCTGTTTTCTCTTCCTCTCTGCCCTCCACCAAATCCAAAATGCTTTCTGAAGTGCCAAATTTAATTTTCGTTCCTGTTGACAAAATGATTTTAAACCCAGTGCTAGCTGGCAACAAATCATCCTTTCCTTTATGCAGAGAAATTATTTGCTTTCTCTTCTTAGTATTTCCACCACACAGGGATGAGCCTATTCAGAGCGCTGTGCACCACACCACTGCCTACAAAAAGTTGGACCCTCCTGATACCCTGCTGACACAGGAATGAAAATCTGAAAGACATGAACAACTTCTTTTTAATGCCATCATTCTCGTGCGAGGAGGCTCAGGCACCGTGCTGTACATTGGCAATCTCAGTGCTTCACAGCAGCAACAAGGCAGAGGTGGGGAAAAACACCGCATTTGTACCAGCACAACTGCAACAAAGGGAAAGGACTTTCCCAGCTCACCAGGAAGGGGCAGTTCTTGGTCACCAAAGGTAGCTGTCATTAGATAGGATAGGGCTAGATTTCCAGCACCACAAAGCCCATCCCTGCTTCAAATGCAGCTAATTCACTGGGCACATGCACAGATCTGGGTAAGTCTTCTGCTCATAAACACAGTTTGTGAATGCTTCACATCCCGCTCCCAGTCAATGCTCGGCGATGACGGCAGGCACTCTGCCCACCTCATCCATCTGTAAATATCACAAGGTTCACTTGTTTGACAGCCCCAAAATAAACTGTGATCGTACAACCCGACCCCCACACGTTCAAATGAAGCACACTGAATGAGGTTACTCACTGAATGACTGCCTGAGGAAAGGAAAGCCCTTCTGAAATACAGCTTTGAAGCAGAGAGGAGACAGCAGAAGTAGAAACTATTTACATCTTTTAAAACTGCAGGGAATCTCCTCCAACCTTAAACAAAGAAGTTCCTTTGCCAGGTTAACACAGGATGCCCTCAACCACAGAAATCTTCCTTCCTACATTTCAGCAGCACCTGTGATGCAGACAAAGCACGAGTGTGGCACAGGCAGCAGAAGCTGTTACAAAAAGCACACAGCAAAGCTGGCAAAGCTGGAACACAGGCCAAAAACAGCAACCCCCAAACTAGACATACACAGCAATGCACAGGCAACCTGCAAGCGTAAACAGGAACTTCCTCAGCCTCCTTAACAGAAGAGCCTAAAGAAAGATCCTGAAATCAGACCAAACCCACGTCCTGCACTGATAGGTGAAAGAAAAAATGGGAGCTTTAGGTATTCTGTGACCAAAGTGTTCTTCACAAAGCCCCAACACCAAGACTGAACTCAGGCAGGTCAGGCTGCTCCACAGCTGGAATTTTCTGCTGAAAGAAAGAAGAAATAAGATGCTTTCCTTCAGCAGAAAATACATCACCTGAGGAAGAGTGCAAACAAGCCACAATTTGCGTCTGAAAGTAACCTTCAGGTGAAGCAAGTCAAGAACAGGTTGGGGCAAAGCAGGCACAAAGACCTTGGTAACCACAGCAGGGAGCAGAGCTGACACTCCCACAGACACTCACATGGGGGTGGCCTGCGGCTTGGATCAGGAACACCACTCTGGATACAAGCAACAAGCTACACACTGCAAGCCACATCCACAAAGCTTTCGTGTTCCTGAGACAGCCATTCCATTCTACACCAGTGGGTAAAACAGTTTTAGCCTCTTTTATTCTCTCCCAAAATAATTAGCCCAAAACAAATACAAAAGAGAAATCATGGTCACAAAGAATTATTGCTCGTTTCATTAAGGTCTAAGTATTGGAACCAGCAAGATGGGAAGGATGGGATAGGAAGGATAAACAAACATCTAGGGAACTACCTGACAAACTTCAGCAGGAGATTTATTAATTATTTTTCCCAAATACTGCCAAAAACAAACAAACAAAAACAAAGCACAGATTAAGACTGAAGTAGGTTAACGTGAAAAATGTCTTGCTCAGCTTCACATAGCTCAAAAACTGAGTAACAGCAACAGTGGTGAAAAGAGATGATCAACATGTGGGATGGTGAAAAGCCTGGAGGGACCCAGCACTGTCTGAGCTACATTTACTCTAATTTGACTTCTTTAGTACTAAACAGAAAGGAAAAGCAATTGGCACATTAGCTAGATTTAAGAGCTGCTACTTCAATTTGGAGAGATCATAAATACTAGCTCTGACAGAAGCTTGAAAGTGTAAGTACGTAGGCAGAATAGAAAAGGTAATTCTACTGGTGAAAAATGGAGATATTATATTTGAAAAACATGCTTGAAGATGCAGAAGAAAAGGGAGAGACTACCTCTACAATGCAAGTGCATTACATGAAATAGCAGCTAAAAAAATCAGCTGGGGATTTAGGAGGGAAAGAGCACCGTGAAGCACTTGTGAGCACAGGGAACAATCCCTGGAGAAAGGGGACTCAATAACACCTAAGATCTTTTCTGTCTCATTTTCAGTTATGAACAATGTGGTGAAGTCATGAGAGCAAAAGACACTGAAGTTATTCAATACCAAGGGTGTCCAATGTTCACACAAGAATGAAGTAATGGGGTCCTAAACAGCACATCCAGTGAACAATCACAGGCTCAGCTAGGAAATGCTGCTCGGAACAGCACTGAACCTGCCTGAGAGCACTTGCCCCCAAGCAACAGGGAGCCCCAGGTGGCAGGCAGTACCTGTGAAGGATCTGTTACCCGCAGTGTGACCACATCTTCACTAGTGTATTTGATAAACAGATGGTTCTCATCCAAAAGCTGCATCTTCCACATGCGGAGCTGCCTCAGCTGATCAAAGTACTGGAAGAACCTCCTCTTTGCTATCGCGCTGCCGTCCTGCTCTGCCCTTCTCCACAGGTACACCAGCAGCCTGTGCTTCAAAGAGTTGATGAAGGGCTCTTTGTAGGGGTTTGCCATCCCCGTCTGAGAGTCCCGCTGCACCTCGGGATACACCGCAGACAGCGTCAGCAGATCGTCCTCGTAGCAGAAGCGGCCGATTGTCCGCACGTCGATGAAAGTCCCCTCGGGTGTCACCTGAAAGACGTGAATCGTCTGCTGCTGCACAGACAGAATGGCCAAGATGTTCTTATAGAGGTACAGCCCCTGGTTATGAGAGAGGATGACTTTGTCACACTTGAAAGTCCTCGTGTCACAGAGCCTGCCCGTGTGGAGATCAATGATATGCAGGGAATAATCTTCCAGAGGGGAGCGAGGGTTGGGGGTCACCGACTCACTGTTGCGATAAACCTCAAAGAAGGGCGGGTGCGGCTCCTCGGGGAGGTAAGCAGCAGAGCCAACGATGACATACCTACAGTCATCAGTGAACAAGCTGCACTCACGGTTCAGGTGCTCCCCGTTGGAGGCCACATTGGTGATATGGAGCAGGACGAAAAAGCGCTCAAAGAGCCGCCCTCGGATGTTGACAGATCTTTGGTCATTGCCGTTAGCCAGGATCTCCCCCTCGTAGCCTTGCAGGAGGTCCTCTGCCGCCTGGCAGCCCTGATACTCGTAGATCTCCAGGGATGTCTGGTCGGAGGAGAAGGCGATGAAGTAGCGTCCATCGGGGGAGAACTTGCGCAAGAAGCAGGGCGGCTTCTCCACGTTGACCACGGTGAAGTTGGGGAAGACGTTCTGGTGGAAAACTCGGACCTGGTGCCAGTGGGTGCCGGCCTTGCCAGAGCTGATCCGACGGCGCTCGAGGCGGTGGATGACATTCTGGTTCTGGATGCGGCGGGGCTTGATTGTGGGGGCATCATGGTCCATGGTCAGAGCACTACTTCATCTTCACCCTGCTGCAGACGGCACACACACTCACTGTGGGACCTCACCAAGGCTGCTTACAGAGAGGGAGTTCTGGGCAACCCCCTGAGGGAGGGGGCCAGCTGAAAACCTTCGGGAGAGAGGCTGGGAGAGAGGGTTCAGTGGGGACGTAACAGAGACAGTGGTAGGTACCCAGAGGGAACCCAGCAAGGCGATGGGGTCTGCAGAGCTGCCTGCTGAAGAGCAGGGCACAGGAAAGGATCGAGCTGAGGAAGGCAGCACACGTACGTGGATGCCACAGGGACACTCAAACACCGGGAACCGGGTGAGAGCAGCCAGGGGCAGCCTGCAGCTGAGACAGAGGGAGCCCAGGGAGGGCATGAAGGCAGGGGGAACGGGGCAGCCTGTGGGCCACCGAGGGGACAGCAGCTCCAAGGAGAAGCCTGACTGGAGGCTGGGGACGGGGGGCCGCTCTCCCTCTGCTCCGCAGGAAACCGCGGCTCAGGACCATGCCCTGGGGGCACGGAGGAGCTCGGAACCCTCCGGGCGTGGAGGCCACGGCGTAGCGGTGCCTACAAAGGGCGCAGGCCGCGCTCACCACCGGGGCCCGGCGCTGGGCCCGCCGCCGCCGCTTACTCTATGGCCGCTGCCATCTTTCCGCCACCACACAACGACGCACCGCGACAGCGGCGGCGAGAAGGCGTCACCCTCACTGTCCGCTTCCGCTTCCGGTGGGCGGAGCAGCGAGGCAGGGCGCACCAGAGTGTCCACGGAGCGAGTGAGAGAGCGCCCCCTGGCGGAGGGAGGAGCGCTGCGGGACGCGTCCGCGCACAGCGGGAACCGCCTGAAACGCGCCCTGCACCCCTACAGCCCCGCCAGGCCAAAATCCTGAACCCTCACAAATCTGTACCTCTGTGGTCCTCCACCCATCCTTAACCCCTATAATCTTGCTGCTCGTAAGCATGCATACCTATAAACCCGCACCCCTATAAATGTGCATCCATCCTGCGTCCCCATAACCCTGCACTGCTATAGCCCAGTAGCCCCTTACCACTAGAAGCCCGCACACATGCTGCATCCCTATAGCTCCGCACCCCATAATCTCTATAACCCTGAACACCTATAAATAAACATCACTATAGCCCTGCACCTAAACTGAAACCCATAATCATGAAACCCCATAAACGTGCACTTATCCTCCACCCCTTCAGAACTACATCCCTGTGGCCCTATCAGCCTATATCCATCCTGTGCTCCTATCAGCCTGCACACCCATAAACCTGCACCTGCATAACCTGCATTTCAACCCCAGGGATGCTCTGTATGTTTTTGGGGCATGCCTCTGTCTCATAAGCTCCCCAGGTGTGTAGGACAGTCAGGACTATTCCTGCCCCCCAGAAGCCCCTCTGACAGCCCAGGGATGGGGACAGCAGCATCCAGGTGGTGGCATTAGTGCCATGGAGCTGGGGACATGCTCACCCACACTGGTTACTGTGCTGCAGCCAGCCCTGGGTGAAGGGCCTCAGCTCCATAAAGCACTCCATGACATTGCTATTCCCACAAAGCTCTGGGGACATCACCCCATTGGGGTGGCAGATAGGTGCCAGGACAGTGGGGACCTTTATAGCCCTGGGGACCCCTATATAACCCCAGCATTCACCTTGTGCCCCTATACATGTATGTGGGAAGGAGGCACCCTGCTAAGCAGAGGAGCAGCATCCCCTATGGGAACATGAGGAAAGAACCCACTCCATGGGTCTGGGGGTCCGTGCCCATTTCCCAGTGTTTTTCACAGCAGGAGACACGATGACAAGCTGAAAATGAATGGCCTCGGCTCTTCCCTTTGTTTCCCTCCCTTCTATGTAATTAATTGGGATCCACCTTAATAGGATAAAACTAAATACCAAAGAGCATCCAACCACACGGCAGCTGGCAGGAAAATAACCACCCAGCACACACACAGACAGGCAGTTCAACGGACAAAAGAGCCATTAACACAGCAGCCATCGGCGCTCCTGAGCTAATAACTCCATCCCTGTGGCCAGCCTGTGTTGGGGCTCAGGGCAGCAGACCTCTGTGGGAACAGTTCTGTTTTCATTCACCTGCAGGGGTTTGCTGATGGGATTTAAGAAATCTCAGCGAGGGAGGGCTGGGAGTAGGGAGCTTGGTGAGACGCTCAGAGGGTTCAAATGGGATGGAATTGGCTGGAATTGGGCTGGTTGCTCTGCTTTTAGGAAGGGTTTTGTCCATTCTTCAGCTGCAGACGGCTTCAAGGTGGGCTGGGGGGAGGCTTTGGTGGAAAGCACCCAGAGAAAACAGGTGAGTGTTGCAGGCAGAACGGTTGGTACACATGAGGCTTTGCTCTGAGCCATCCCATTTGCTGCTGGGGAAGGTGACAGTGCCATTCCCAGCGCAGCCCAATGGATCTCAGGCACAAACAATGCAGTTCTGCTCCCAGCTGCACATCGTCTGTCCTTTCTGATGGCTGTCAGCATCAGCTCCCCTATGCAAACCATCCTGTTCCACCCCAAACCTCAAACATGCCTGTGTCCTCATCACAGCTCCCTTGGGATGAGCCCCAGTGCTGCACAGGTATTTCCCATCCATCCCCACAGCTAGCATGGGGGCTTAAAAAAACAAGCAGAGCTCATTTGGAATGTTTTGGGGGGTTTGCTGAAGCAAGGTCCTTTCTGCTGCTGCGTACCAAGTGCTGCGGGATGAGTGAGGCTGGGGACTGAAGAAGGAAAGGAAGGATGCTCTGCTCCCACCCTGCCTCAGCCCACAGCCCCGGCCATCTCCTCACATGGACACTTGCAGGGAAAGAAAACCCTCTCCAGGTCCTGCATATTGCCGTCCCCTCTTGTGGCCCCATCCACGCTGTGCTGATGGAGGAGAGAAAAACAAACATCGCCCAGGCTTTGCAGAGAGCAAAGTTGGTGCAGGTAGCCCTGCTCGAGGCTTTGCCCTCTCACAGGGTGCTCTTTCCAAATGTGCACGGCTGCTGGCACCCACGTGCAGTAGGAGAGGTGCTGGGTGCTTTGGGAACCATGGGGAAATCCCTTCTGGAGGTGTTTCTCTGTGGATTGGATATAGGGGGGGGGGGGTTTCTTCCAGGAGAAATCTCCAATGGTGTTTTCCTCGCCCTCAGAAAGGAGCAGCCTCTGTGGGGCTTTCCTTTGGGCAAAGTATCCTGTGTGCCCCAAGGAGCAGCAAGCTTCAGTTGGGAACACAGTTGGGGTGAGAATGCAGCCAAGAGAGCAGCCCTGAGATGACAATTCCAACTCCAATTTCTCTCATTTTTTCCAAGAAAAAAATAAGATCCAACTCAATATTTTATTCTACCCCGGGGCCGGGGGAGAGAATTCATTCATGTTTACAGATTCGCATGGGCATTCGGGCATCCATTTTTATAAAATGGGACAGAAAAGTCTCCGTCAGAACCCCCCGGCTCCTGTTTCGACCCTTTCCAGAGCCACCCAGAGCCAGGCTAGAAGGATGGTGCTGGGACCCCACCTGCCATCAGCCCCCCCCAGTCTGTCCCCAGCGCCTGATCGCTGCCCTCAGCACCTTCCCAAACTCTCCCGACCTTTACACAACGCAGAGAGCATGCAGGACCCCTGGCGAGTAGCGCCTTGTGCCACCCGTGGGTGACGGCCCCGTCCCCGCTGTGCCACCCGTGGGTGACGGCCCCTCCCGCTGATGCGCAGTGACATTTGCAATCTGTTGCCATGGGCGCTCGGGGACTTTTGCTGTGGAGGGGGATCGCGCTTCTCCCCCCCCTTCCTCCTCCTCTCCATCCCTCCCTCCCGATGACGTCATGGATGACCACGGTGGTGACAGGGCCACCTGTGGGCTGGTGAGGGGTTTAAAGAGACAGTCTGCAGCTGCAACAGGAGCCCTGGCTATTGTCTGCGCACCTGGGAGTGAGGGAACCTGCAGCCCCCCGACCACCCATCCATCCATCCATCCGTCCATCCATCCATCCATCCATCCATCCACCCCATCCTACCGCATCCCATCCATCCACCCATCCCATCCCACTGCATCCCACCTGTCCCCATATCCCGTGCAGCTCCCGCTGTGCCGGGGCTTTCCGAGCCGCTTCGTGCCCATTCCTGTGCCGACCTCCCACCACCGCAGTGGATCCCCCAAGGTAAGGCTGCGCTCCGTGGCCCCACGGTCCCTCCTGCCTCTCTGCATCCATTCCCTGCAGCCCCGGCTCTGACAAAGGGATCGCTCCGTGCCACCAAGGGGAGGTGGTGGGGACACCCAGCGCTGGGCACCTGCTGCGATCCAGTCCTGGGGATGTTCCTGCTGCCTTTGGGGAGGGCATGGGGATGATTCCAGAAGACACGGCAACCCCTGGCACAACGGGTTCCCACTGTGGGGACAGAGCCCTGCTGGCACCGAGCACTGGGATGCTTCTGCTTTGGGGCAGCACTGGGCTCAACAGGATCCCAGCACCTCCACTCCAGCTTTCCCAGAGCACCACTGAATTCATTTCCCATTCCCTTGTCTGGGCACCCATTTTCCTTGTATGCCACCCCCATGTGGGAAGTGAGTGTCTCCAGCGTGGCATCCCCTAGTCCTCAGTACATCCTATTTGATGCCATGTACCCAGAGGGGGTGCTGCTGGGTGGTGGTGGGTGCTGCAGGGATCACGGTGCGTGGCAAAGGAGCAGGGAGAGAGGGGCTGTCCATCCCCTGGGGGGCAAGGACCTGTCCCCAGTGTCTGTCCCTCAGTCCTCCCAGCCCCAACAGGGTGAGCAGCAGGTAAGTGCCATCGTTACGGCTGCAGATTTTGGTGTCACTCAGATGTGCAGGCAGGGAATGGGGTAGGAAAAGGGTCTGGGAGCAGCTCAGAATGGAGATGTGTGCATGGAGATCAGTGTGTCTACTCCCAGGGAGAGGAAGGGTTCATTTCCTCCCATGGGATGTAACCCATTGGGACCGTGTCCTGCTCCTCAGCAGCTCCTATCAAGGGCTTGTGCAGGTCCCCACATCCCAAGTCCATGGGGGCTGTGTTGGACCCCACCACCAAAGAGCCAGCAGCCTCATAATGGGAGCGAGGGCACAGGACAAATTCTTCCGGGCAGGAAGGGATGGGAACTATGCAGGGTAGGAATGGAACCATGGGATTCTACAGTCCAGTCTTGAGAAATGGGGCCAAATCCAAGGATGAACCCCACAGAGAGAAGTTGGCTCCCTGCATCCTGGGATGCAGAGAAGCGATGGTAGAAGATGGTGAGAGCTTGGGCTGGGCCTGGGTTTGGTGCGGAAGAGACGATGCTAATTGTTGGGCAGAGAGAAACTGAGTGGCAACCTCAAGGCATGGCACCATGGTGTTTGCACATCTGTCCGCCCCACAGCAGGGTGCACAGCTGCACCGTGCAGGGAAGGGCGAGACCCCCATGCATAAGAGGAAGGAGGTGGCATGATGGAGCAGACAGTGCCTGCCCTCCCAGTGTAGCGAGCAGCACAGAGGGGGCACTGACCTGCCTGGTTGACCACCCCATGGTGCTGGGGTGCCAGAGGGAGACTTGGGATCATGCATGAGGCGTGTGCTGTGTGGACATAATCTTAACTGTGCAGGGGGCCGGAGTTGAGCTGAAAATAACCGTGGTCTGCCTAGGTGGATACATGGAGCAAGTAGGGGAAACACAACAGGCAGGGAAAGCGGTGG